TAGGTTTATTTGTTTACTCTCTTAGTTGTGCCTAATCTTCTTTAAGAGGACAGAGTCATTATTACATAATTTATGGCTACACAGTATCTATCAAAGCTCAATCATCTAATGTTGGTTATTGCCAGCCATTCATCACCTTGATCCTATAATGCTCAACTCCATGACACTAAGATCTCGTGGATGCTAACAAAATTGTCTGAAAGTATATTTGCTACTCTGCTGGCATGTCACCTTACGGGAAGGTTTGACCAAGTAAGCAAGTGAGGCTGCACTGTGAAATAATTTAAAAAATTATCCTGAGAAATCAAATTTTCAAATGAGTTGGAAAACTCCCTCATGGGTCTGAATTGTCTCTATTGCTTCTCTAGAAATTTAAAAACAAATCCTCTGATATTCACTAAAATAGAACTTTTACACATGAAGGCTGTGTTGACCAGTTTGATGGAAGTAGTTCGGATTGCATGTGAAAACCCCACACTGTACCCCAGAAGTGCATTAATGTACATAGTTACCATTCAATAAAAAAAAAAAAAGAAAAAAAATAGAACTTTTACTCAAAATTCAGGTCATCTTTAATTAAAACATACTGACATCGATCAGTTACTCATTTAAATAGTCTGATATGTAGTTTACAATAAGAAAGAGGATACTTAGTTTTTTGTGTTTGTTTTTTGGTTTTTATTGAGACAGAGTCTCACTATGTTGCTCTCGGTAGAGTGCTATGGCATCACAGCTCACAGCAACCTCAAAGTCTTGGGCTTAAGTGATTGTCTTGCCTCAGCCTCCCAAGTAGCTGGGACTACAGGTGCCCCCACAATGTCCAGCTATTTTTGGGTTGCAGTTGTCATTATTGTTTAGCAGGCCTGGGCCAGGTTTGAACCTGCCAGCCCTGGTGTATGTGGTGTATGTGGCTGACACCCTACCCATTGAGCTCCGGGCACCAAGCCAGATACTTATTTTGATATTAATATAGCGTATGTGGGAAGTGCACCCAGAGTGGAGGTGCACTAGCTCATGGACTGGAGGGTGCCTAGTCTATGAAAACCCTATCTTCTCAAGTAGATTTCCAGTTTTGCTACTTGTGACACATTGTGTTTTATAAGAAAAAAATCATGTCCGCCTTTCTTATGACTTATGATCCCCTGATCTCCCATTCCTCTTCTCCTCAGACTTGCTGTAACCATCATTCACTCTTACAGAGAGTTTATTTATGATCTGTAAAGCCACTGGCTTTATGAAGTCATTCTATTGGTACAGCACCTATACAGTAACTATGCAGTTTTTTTAAATGAATTATCATGATAAAAACAGCTTATTAGCTGGGTTACTTGGAAAAATAATTTATCCTTTTTGAGTTTCTTGTCCCACCTGTAACAGGGTAATATCTCCCACCCTTGCAAGGCTCTGTGATGAGAATGATAATAAAGAAACACTACCTCTCACAGTGTGCCTGGTATTTAGTAAGTGTTTAATGAATTAAAGCCAGTATAAATGCTGTATGCACATTTTACAATTTACAAAGTCCATTATTCCACATTCTCTTTGCTCTGATCCCTTGTTGTAAACGGGCTCCCTTCCCTGGAATCTATCCACAAGGGCCCCTTAAACAGTCCTTAAAATTATTCAAGAGGTTATTATAAGAATCTTCATTTCTACTTTTTATATATTACCATCCAATAATACTTTCAAGAGAAAACTAATCATCTTCTTTCCACATGAACTTTTGTGTTATTATATAATACAAAAAAGCATGGGTTTCGGGGCTGACTCCCAGGTAAGGATGGATGAGAGAACCATGATAAGAATCTTACTGCTCCCTTTAAAAACTATTATTCTAATACAATGGAAAAGCAAAGGAGTTTGGTTGTCTGTAGATATAATAAAATCTGCCCTTAAACACCTTCGGAATACCCCCTCACTTTACTATGATCTAATCAAATTTGAAAGCTCCAAAGCTCTTGTTATGATCTGTGGTAGCTCCTTTCAAACTAAAAATAGCTTTCCAAATGAAGAAATTTGGCCATCTCAAAATAAATAATTCCATAGCTCCTAACTTAGAAAAATAGAAATCATATATGAGAGCTGACAATTTACCTTTCATTTAGTGTCAGGGAATCAAACTCTTGCTCTTCTAATATATTGGAATGTTTTGTAAATGGCTAAGATTCTTCTTTTTATTAATATATCATTGAGCAAATAAGAATACTGTATTTTGATATAGCCTCAAGCACAAAATTTGCTATGGGCCCATTTCAGGATGTGTTGCATGAAAATAGGCAGAATTGGAATTGCACAACAAATGATGGGCAGGCCTTACCCCCAAATTTCTGAGTCTGAATCTGTGGCTGAGGAATATGCAGAAGGCCAGGTGCTGGAATCCCTTGTTTAACTGTCCCCCGAGTGTCTACTGAGAAGCTTCGCGTAGGACCTGCGGCTGGATCAGTGGGTAAGCCAGATGACACTGGAAGTGGGCAACAAGCAATCATCAGCTGTGGCAAAGGACAAGCCAATGATGTGGCAGGATACTCAGGCCGAATCCTGTGTCAACAGTGCTTAGCAAAATGGTCCAAATCAAATGTCTCAGAATTTGGACTGACAGCGTGTCTTCCTGTTCCTCTTATGTTTCCACCCCCGTAAGTTTCACCTACGTCCCTTCTGATGGGCATTTTAGAAAAATGTTTATTTATAAAAATAAAAACCATCTTTCCATGCAAGTAATTCACACAATTAGTGCTGCAAATGAATATATTTAAATGTCTCTAGGCCAGACAGTGAGGACTAATGCAGACGTGGACTATAAATGCAAAAATCTCTTAGGCCATTCTTTCAGATTATACATCTTAAAAATGTATGTAAAAATGTAACTCACAATTAATTATACACTATCATACCAGAAGCATAGAGGAAATAGTAGACGGAGTATCTTCCTTCCAGTGAAAAAAAATACTCTATGCTGTGGAAAATTTCACTTTCTTTGATCTTGGCTTGATTTCTCCAGTGAGCCTTCCTCTCTCAAAGGTATGTACTAAAAAATATGAAATGGCTTAAAAGAATAACTCAGTCACATAAATCCAGATTATTACTTGGAAGGAAAATTATATAAAGGTTTCGAGTGAGACAAATGTATAAAGCACACATTAGTTTCGTTCTTACATTTCAAATACGTGCAATCAGGCTCCTACCAAAAAACTGATGTACCCAAGAATTAAAAATTCTACATCACAGCACTTGAGCTCATGTTTTTTATCTCCATGTCTTCCTATTTTCACTCAAAACACAGCTTTGCTTTTTAGTATTCAGGATTTTTTTTTCTCTTTTCTTTTGTTTTGGTTCTAAGTATCTTAGTTTCTATCTCAACTCAGCCCATTCTTTTTTCACTAAGGGAATATTAGGACCAGTGAAGATCAGGCTCTACTAACTCCATCCTCCTACCACTGTCCTTATTTCCCTGCCAAATACAACACTTACTTTCTGGGATCAAGGATTTGAGAACCAGAAGGACCTAAGAGATCCGAGGCAGAGAAGACTGATTATGGGAATCCTCTTTCCAACTTCCTTGTCAGGGAATGGTCCTAACTCTCTCACCAAAGTCTATTTCATGGCCCATTGCTGCAGGCCTTTCCATCCTGAGAGAACTTATGTAGCGGAAGAGCTTTTCCTTGTGTGCAGCCTCGCTGTGTGATCCTAAACAAATCACAGTATTCTTGAGTCTAAGTTTCTCCAATGAGGAATGAGGGGATGATTCCCAAAGGTATGCAAATTGCAAAACTTTTCCTAATTATTTAAATGATTAATTGGAATAAAAAGCTCGCTTGCAGGGTGGTGCCTGTGGCGCAAAGGAGTAGGGCACCAGCCCCATATACCAGAGGTGGTGGGTTCAAACTCGGCCCTGGCCAAAAACTGCAAAAAAAAAAAAAAAAGAAGAAGAAGAAAGAAAGAAAGAAAGAAAGAAAAAGAAAAACGTGCTTGCAGCGTCTTTGGCTTTGAAGGATACTGTCTAAGAGTAAGGTCAGTGTTTGAGAGGCAGAAGCAGTAATTTTAATATCACGCCATAAGGAATTTTCAATGCTGTTGAGCAACTCATCTGCATCCTCTACCCTAAAGGGAGACTTCCAGGCCACGTGTTCCTTAACCCCCTGCTTCCCAGCCTGTCCACTGAGAGTCCGAATCAACATGGCACTTAGGGAGCTCACCATCCATTCACAGAAAACCACCATTGCCAAAATCAATGGTTGATCTTCTGTTCTTCTCTACTTCTCTGCAATATTTATCACTGTTGCCTATTCTCCTCCTCTACTAATTCTCTTCTCTCTTAGCTCCAGTTACAAAAAATCTTTGATTCTCCTTTGCCCCTTGGCCACATTTTTGTCTGATTTTTTGGTTCCTTCTCCATGCCCCTCCCGTTAAAGATAACCATTCTTGTGGGCCTCTTCTCTATTCCACAGAGGATGCTGAACCCTAGATCCCTTCTATCTCTGTCACTAATTCACTGTTCAACCTTACACAACAGGCTACGCTCTTGGGGCTTCATTCATCCCTGTGAAAGAGCAAGGAGCTGGACTTGAAGATCCGGAACACCACTTTGAACCACAGAATGCTGTGCTAGGCTATCTTAATCCCATTCCTACAGTCCATCAATCCACGGTAACTTTCAGAAAGCCAGTGTGAGTCTGTGATGGAGCTAAGACCAACAGGAAATCATCGATTCGAGTACAGAAAGAAACCAAAAACACCACTGGGTCTGAAACTTTCATTTTACAGCTGAAGAAACTGAGCTTACTCGATTACCTCATGGCAGGGACAGAGATAATAAGGAGGTTTGCTGGGCTCTCACGTGTTGCAAAATCAAAGTTTAAGTGTCTTCCAAACCCGGTTAAAGTGCAGAATGATATCAGAGTAACATGTGATATAGGAGGCACAAATTTGTCTAGAATACATCAAAGCCTTCTCCCCCACTCTTGGAAAAATAAATTCTATACTACAAGAATTTCAGAGACAGATTTGCTATAGGTGTTGCTTTACACAAACTATCATAATCTGATTACATAACACATCTTCGATTTGTTTTTAAATAGCCAAATAAAACAAGACATCAAGTCACAGATCACATATATTTACATTAATTTAAATGTCCAAAGCACAATACAGTAAGGTCTATTCAATAATTCACAGAATTTAAGATTTACACACACACAACCACATGAACAAACATGAGCCTGCTAGAACAAAGATGTAAGAAGCTACTCAAGACAATTTGGGTATCGGCACCCACAAGTTTATGGCAACAAATAATGATGTCTTTAAACTTTCAATGGCATCTTTTGTACAAGGATACAGAATGGAACGAAGGGTGAACAAATGTACTTTTATTGCACTATTTATCTAACATTATATAGGACGTGGTTATATCTATAAAGATCCAGTAAATTTTATCAGTATAGTCTGTTTACTCTAGTCCAAAATAGTGATTTGGGGTGAATCATTCCCAAATCCAATTTTATATGGATTCTTCCTTCACTATCTTTTAAAAATGAAATAGGCCACTGGTGCTTTTCTTTCAAGTAACTCAACTTTGGTCCTAAGAAATTAGCAGTCTATTTTTAAAGAACACTAATATATGAAGTTTCCTTTTTCTCTTGAGACTTTGGAATAAAGGGACAATGTCAGTCATCTCACCTCTGGGCCAGCCTTGAAAACAAGCAATGGTGCTAAAGACCAAAAGATTGTTATCTAGAACCTACACTTTGGAAAACAACGCTATCTTTCTCTGGCACATTTAGGAACCAAAATGCTTTATCTCATTTCCTATCAACCATTTTAAGAGACCATCTGGTTCTATTTCAAAACAAAAACGACACCATTTCTGTCCTGCTGTGTATTTTGCTGACCACACACAAAGTTAAATATGAAGAGATTAAATTATGACATCATACAAATACAGGCACAAAATTAAGTGGACGCCACAAAGGGTGTGTCCGAAAACACTGAATTGACTGAATCTGAGTCGGATTTCCCCCTGGTGGACTTTAAGATGCCCTCAGCTATCGCTGTCTCGCTGGGAAAGAGCCTGACTTTCCCATTCTGCCCCGCTGCAGTATCCTTCAGGGGTTCCAAAAACACCACTCTTTTACCTGCACCTGCCTTCCTTTCATCAGTGGAAGCATCACTAGCAGGGCCGGGACTAAGAATGGATGAATGGGCATTGCTTTGGTTTAGCATATTTTTCTGTCGCTTGGTTTTACACTTGCAGGGACATGGAGTCAGATAGAGGTACAAAAGTACCAAAATGATACTGGCTACGCAGGCGGCGAGAGTGGTGAAAGCCGTGTTAAATGCCTCATGAGCATGGGATCTGCTCACAGTGAAATTGCTCACGTTTATCGTGACATCCACAGTTTCATTTAACAGGCGTTGCCTATTCATTGCAATACAAGAATACACTCCAGCATCCTCAAAACGGGGGCTCTCTATAACCAGACTTCCATTGTGAAATACGTGAAAGTTTTCCTTCTCTTTATCTGGCTCCAGCAGTTTGTTATCTGGACCGACCCAGATGAAATCGGTATTTGCATTACCAGTCTTGCTGTCACAGTGAACAATCAGTCTTTCCCCGACCTGAGCCTCATGAATAAAGCCAAGTGCATGGAAGGAACCATTGATGATGCTATCTGAGCAATTCATAAAGCTATCCTGGAGCAGAAGCACCTGATGGGAGTGCTTAGAGTCAGACCACAGGCGACAGGTGTAATCGTTCTTAAAATCCATCACTGAGCTAAAGTGCCTACGATACCAAAAGACCAGCAATGAGTACAGGGAACAGTCACAGATAAATGGGTTTCCATGAAGGTAGATGCCTCTCAGCTGTTTTCCTGGCACTAAATTTATATGGTGCATCGGGATGGAAGAAATCCGGTTATAAGAAACATCTAAAAACATCAGTTCAGCCAGCTTGAACCTTCCAACGTACAAATCCATAGGAAACTGCGTGAGAAAGTTTCCACTTAAGTAGAGCTTTTGCAATTGGGAGAGCCCTCCAAATGCCGAATGATCAAGATAGGAAATATGATTGTTGTAAAGTAGGAGCACTTCCAGAACCTTCAACTCTTGGAAGACTGCATTTTTCACTGCCTTCAGCTTATTGGATGATAAGTCCAGACATTTCAAATTTGGAGTTGTGGAAAAACTGCCCGTGGAAATGCTAGTGATGTTATTATGACGAATAATCAGGGTGTTCAGCTTCATAAACGATACCGGAATCCACTCAGAATCCAGAAACCCAATTCTGTTATAGCTCAGATCCAGTCTCTTAATCAATCTGAAAAGGTTCCCAGGCACCTTGGACAGGTTTTTGTTAGTGCAGCTAACGATGTCAGTGGCACAGATGCAAGCGGTGGGGCACACCCCAGAGGCGCCAGGGCTCACAGTCACCGTGATCACCAACAAACACAGCAGTTCCCTGCAGCCCGGTCTGACAGCTCCTGGCAGGGTGGGCAGCGTGTGTAAGCGTAAAGACATTATGGTCGCCTCCAGAGTCTCTTCCTGGCGTCTTTTCCACCAGCTCAGCCTCCCACCAGGGAACCTGGTAAACAATTAATATTTAAGAGGCGGTAAATGCAGAAGTTAACCATCCCTAGTTAACCCTTACTTTCTTCCCAATAACTTTTGAAATGGGTGTTGTTAAACTGAGGAGCTCTATGTTGCCTCTTTACCGTTAAATGCATTTCCCCCAGTGGGGTGGGGGGTTGTTAGTCCTGCTTGTAAACAGACATGTAGTCACACTCTAGGACAACCTTCTTACCGTCAGAAACTCAAATTTTTAAAAAGGTGCATCCTGCGTTGGTTTTTTTTAACTCCCTCCAACAGACACAAAAACACATAAATACATCCTATAAACAATTAAACGGAAACACTCAGCAAGCCACAGTCTAGAAAACCACTCACGGAGCTGGGCAGCCTCCCGGGCTCGGGGAGAGGCGGCCGACGCGGTGTCTCCGGCAGGTCCGCGCGCCTGTCGCTCCGCACCTTCCGACTTCCCTTCCCTCTAGCTCCCGGCGGGCGGCAGCCTCTCTCCGGCTCTCAACTTTGGGGAGTTTCAAGCAGCCGCGGCGGCAGCAGCAACCCGGGCGCAGCCGAGCTCCCCGCTGGCGCCGGTCGGTTCTCCCGGGCTCTTCTCATTGCACGGCTGAAGGTACCGCCTCGGCGCCGCGGCCGCCGTGTGCCCGCGCGGGGCG